CTTGCTTATCTTTTCGAAGTATCTGCTAACAGAACATTTGTCTCTCTTAGGTCGTTCCTTCTGGATCTTCTGTTACGTTTACATTTTAAATAATTTCCTTTAATAAAGCTTTTCTCTCCATGTGCTTCCTGATGAACTGGAGAGAGATACGTAGAAAAGAAAACACTCAGCAGGTTTGTGTACATGCAGATCAGGCTTCTGACTGATTGTAGTTTTCTTCTTGTCTTCAATTACATGCCTAAGACGAGAGGAGAGAGGAGGCTGACGCTAACAAAAACGAAGAATTATGACCTCCATTTGAGTAAATCCCCCTCCGTCCGGCTATGGCATTGATTAAGCTGTTTCTGTTGCTGAAGCAGATGACAGCAGAAACCTGTCTCCTCCATCTAATTTTATCAGCCATGCAACAAATCAACCTTCGACCCGCATCAAACTCGCGGGGCGAAAACACCATTAATGGGCATTTACTCTGCAGAAATATGATTTGACATCTTAATTTTCCTCCACAAACAAATAAGCTATTCAGCCACAGCAGTGAGGGAACATTTTTCATCCAGCATTCTCTCAGGCCATTTAGCTGCAGAAGACATTCAGGTTTTGATACGGGATATGTTGGTACACAGACGGTTATCAGCTGCTGTAGCTGTTCATATACTATGATGAAATCACTGGGAACTAGATTTCCACAACTCGACATAGATATAATTAAAAAAACAAAGACATTTTGTGATTAAAAAAAAATCCTATGTTTCTGTTGCACAGACCCTTTAAATTAACCAATTCTAACATATGTCTTTCCACCTTGGTGGACACCAACGTTTTATTCTTTTTTTTAATTGCTGAAAATAAAATAATTAGAAATTCACACAAATAAGAAATGAAAGCCTTTTAGTGGTGTAAATTAATATTCACATTTATGCTGTTAAAACAAATAAACTCCATTTGTTTTCTGACTGCTAGATTGAAAACATCACCTAAATATTCTAATGTCAGGTATATATATATTTGGTTTTTTTTTAATAATACTCAACAACAACATCACAGTATACATATACATATATATGTATATACATATATACATACATACATATATATACATACATATATACGTATACATATATATATGTATATATAAAACAAGTGTGTTACACGACACAGGAAAGAGTCTGTTGTGAGAGTCACAAGAGTTTCATCTGTTGTACGCAGTAACTATGCAGTCCTGTTAGAATTACTGCTGCTGGACACAGACACCATTTTTTCTGTCTTGAGTTTGGATGCCGCTCGTGAGCCCTGACTGAGGTTAACCGATATGTCTACGTTTGAGAGGTTATTTGTTTCCACACTGGATTGTGTCTGTTCACTACATTTTAGTTAGAAATGACAAGCAGATTTAAACCTCTGATATTTAATATCTTACTGGAAAGCATTTCGGATGACAGCTGCTCCGAAGCATGCATCCTAATAAATAAGTCCACGGCTCTGCTTCACACTGCCATACATGTACAATGAACTTGTAAAAAACTTGAAAAAAATATTAATGCTAGAGTCTGGAGCCTTAAATATAATAAACTCTAACTTCCTAATGAATATGCTAATGAAATACAGAGGTTGAACTAAAACTAAACAAGGGAAGGAACTTGTGATGCAAAGGAAACAGAAGTGAACTGCAAAGTTTATTCCAACTGAAATGATTCAAAGTTGTCGCAGTTAATGCCAAATAGACCTGCTACTTCTGGTGAGCAAATAAGATTAGGAAATAAGATTAGAGAGGATTTTCAATGTTGTGGCCTTTAGTTCTGCTCCCCTAAATAGATTAGCGATAACAGATTAGACATAATCAAGTCTGAGCCGGTGTTAATATTTCTATGGATTGTTTCTGAACCATAACTGGTAAATATTAATGAAGACAAAATTGTATTTCTGAGAATATGTAGAGTAATTGAGTTGTACTCCTCAGAAAAATAACACTTAGAAGTTGCACTGGTCTTGCTTGTTTCTTGGGAACAAAGTTTAATTTTCCTCCAACAAAGTAATAAAAACAGCAACAACGATAATGAGGAACTCATCCATAAGGTTGTGCTGGGGTGGATGCAGATTATGTTGATTAAAACCAATTACACTGTAGCTAATTAGATGATGATCTTTCTTGTGTCTTCTTCCTTTTGGTCAAGTGACAGCTTTTGTTCAAAATGACTTAATTGGATTCACATAAGACCGAACAGGATGCGTCAATTTCTTCTTTGTCTTCTCTATTTCATTCAGTGACGGTGAAACAGGGTCATATTACACCCTTTAATGTGTGAATAATCACAAGTGTCCCTGACCAACTCATGTAGTGAAGTTCAGAACAGATGGGGACAATTCAGTTATGACGAGTGAAGGCATAACTGATGTTAATCACAACAAGTTCAGAGCTGAAGATAAAGATCTGTAGTCAATATGTGAGAAAAAATAACCCTCCGTTAAAAGAGTGACATATATGAAAGACTAAAAATCACAGTCGTCCTGGACAGTGGGAGAAATGAATGACAGAAGGCAGCAGCTCTAACTCTAAAGAAATTCTTCTGCTTTGACTTGTCTCACCAGCAGATTAAGAAAAAAGCTTATCATGAACCTTTATGGTGGATACTGAAGATAATCGCATTTCTGATTATGGAAAATTACTTTAATTTTTGGCCACTGTAGCCTTAAGAGGCTTTGCTCAAAATGGCTTAATAGCCATTGAAGCCGTGGGCCACAAAACCAATATGGCGTTCTACAGCAAAATGGATGGGCTCCATGGAAGTCCTGTCGGTTTCAGTGTAATTTAATCCAGCCCTTAGGACAGGCATCTCTCAACAGCAATGGCTGGAAAACTGTTCCAAGCACAGACTTAAAGGAGCAGATGAATTGTCAAACCCTTTGTTAACCCCGTCTGTGCTGCTAACGTCAGACACCGACATTTATCCCTTGTCTCATTTACCAAGACTGACAAAGTAAAGGTGCGACAAAAGAAAAAGGGAGTCTAATAGGTTTAAAAACAGAAACAACACCTGGCTGAAAGATTTAAAGCTATTTGTGGATACGGATGAGACGGAAAGCACTTAATAACTGTACAGACAGCAGCAAACATTTTAACTTAGCCCCAAGCTAAAAAAAAGAAAAAGAAAGTCACAGTGTGATAGAAGACATACTCGGGAAGGCAGAGAAGTAATTTCTTTCCTACTTCTTCTTTGATTAAACTAGACGACCCTCTTGGCCGTCTTCTCAATTGTTCATTAAAGAAATTACCAACAACCTGCGCACTTGCTAGCTTCTTTTTTAGCCATTCCGTGTTGACAGACACGGAGAAAACTATATAGCATACACACGTAGCACAGACATCCCTCTGAAGCTGCATTTATACCACTAACCACCAAAGTTTTATACATTTAAATACAATATTATGTTCAACATTTCATCTCAACATGGCGTCCACCGTGGCAGGCGTATTTTCTCCTTTCTTTAGTTTATAAGGTTAGCATTGTGTATGTCGAACGTCCATTTCACTCTCGCTCGAGTTGAATACCGCAGACAACGTGATTTTCATTGGCCTGTTAAACCGCTGTGCTTATACTGTGTATATGACAATAAACATTACAAGTCTCGAATCGTATTAGGAAAAGGTTTTAACTGTCATCTGATATTACCCCTAAATAAATGTGAATTTCAACCCTTCCTTTTCCTTTGCCTCCCTCACCTCCCCCAACATTAGCCCACAAACCTCTACTCTTTCCTCCACAGCTGAAGCTATGCATTACACAGCATGATACCGCACTAATGCAGCCCATATGAAAACCTAGCCGTGGTTCCCACTTTGTAATATCGCTGAATCCCTATGACAAATGCATTTTACACGAGTGACAGTGACTGCACCCACTGGTGGCGGCCCCTCTGTGTGCGTACAGTCTGTGATGGGACCAACTCAACTCTATTCCTCTCTATCACCTTGCTTTGATAGAACCTAATTTCCCAGGAGCCTCAACTTCAGATGAACTCAGTTACAGGCTCCGTCTCGACGCCAAGAAGCAGAAAACTCTTAACATCTAACGCGGAATGAATGAGACTGTAACATAATGCAGGGAGCAGGGCCCTCCAATTTTGAAGGATACGGCATTGAGCAGCAGGGAAAGGGAGCTATAACTTTCCAACTGTCTCAATTTGATTTCTCTCTGAATTCCATTTCCATTTTAGGGAAGACTTTTGTGTCAAGTGTGAAAAGCCCGGCTGAAAGGAGAGAATGAGAGCGCCTTAGTATCGCTGTAATAGCTCTGTGTAAAGCCCGCTCTCCCTTACTCTCTCCTATGTGTACATTAAAAAAACATTAGGTGAGAAAAGTTCATAACAGTGCTTTACAAGTGTAGTTTTTCTGTTGGGTTTGGTCAGCGCTTTGTGCAGCTTTCAAAGAGTAACTAAACAGTACTGAATTTAGCTGTTAATACAGATGGAGTTTTATTTTTATTTATTATTTATACTGTTTTACTGAAGCGTTTATTGTTGACCACTTTTTAAGGATTATGTTAAGAATAACAAGTACAATTTTAAGGAACCAAATCTCCTCTAGGTTAAATAAGTTAAAGGAGGACCTGAAATGATTTTTTAAGCCAGAGAACTGTGACTAGTGCCATATAAAAACAACCTTATTATTTTTGCATTCCACCCTGTGTGTATATATATGTATATATCTATATCTATATCTATATCTATATCTATATCTATATCTATATCTATATCTATATCTATATCTATATCTATATCTATATCTATATCTATATCTATATCTATATCTATATCTATATCTATATCTATATCTATATCTATATCTATATCTATATCTATACATATACATATATATATATTAAAAAAAAATTAAAAAATGTATCTAAATGTTATGTTTTTTATGACAATTTTTTGTCCACAAAAACCTCAATTGTACCTCAAATGTCTATGAACAGTGTGTTTTAAAGTTAAGCAGTACTCACAGATGTAGTAGTATTCTCTGCCCGGTCTGAATTCAAATCCCAAGGAGAATGGAGTGAAGAGCTGGAACTTCTCTGAAAACTTTAGTGGCCCATTCGGGGAGTGTGGCCTGTTGCATTCCCAGCGCTTGAAGCCCTTGGCGGTGTGATCGCATGTGCTGTAGCCATCGTAGTTGACCATGTAGAGCACGTAGCGCTCTGTCCGCTCCTCGGGAACTGTGTCTTCGTAGTGTGGACAGTACACGTCCAGGTAGTCATTTATGCACACGTCGATATGGTAGTCTCCGCGATGGAACCTAGAAGTGAAGAGAAAAATAAAAAGGTTACATTTTTTATAAGAAATATTATGAAGTGATTTTATATCTTGTGTGTTTGTGCATTAGCATTTGTTCTGGATAAAATGTCTTTATATTGACTCATATGAAAATGCAGGTTTGAGCTCTTTGTATTCCTACGCCATGATTTAGGTTACGATACATTTCAGTTGAAGTCACTGCTAGAGATATTTACTCATGAATTCAGACATCTGTCCTCTGAGTGACAGCGCAGTGAAATCGCAAGTTCTTAAAAAAATATGTTTTTTAAAAGTGTCAGAAACAAGACACATGGTGGAAAGGCAGCAGAGAAGACACGAAAGCAGACAGCCTCAGGCTGAGTGGGAAGCAGAAATAATCTCTGGGATGGAGGATGGACGGGACAGTAAATGTCACGATAGGGGAAAAATCACAGCCTGGCTGTCACTGAGGTCTGTGCGCTGAGGCATCTTTACAGCTGCAATGATCGAGAACGGTCCACTCTGGGTCAAAGGGCTTTGATACATACAGGCATATTCATCACTGGGCCACAGTGTCACTGACTCACACCTACAACTGCACAATTCAGTCTCCACTGCCCCCCCCCCCAAATGTCCACAGCTGCTAAATTACAGCAGCTAAATTAAGTGACCGTTCCTGTGTTGTGACCTTATTCCTTACGACCCCCGACGGCATGACCACGACCTCTGACTCAGAGGGGACCTCATCCAGGAAAAACTTTTGGACACCTGTATACAAATTAGTGGTGCCCTCAGTTTGGCCCATTTCCTCAAACAACAACTGAAAGTGTGACAATGTTAACCACAGAGAGCCCACACACAGCTGCTGCCGCTGGTTGGTTTCACCCAGAGGCCAGAAGGGGTGACTTTATAACTGACACATCTTTAATGTTGCAAGAGCACAACCTGACAAGAGTTTTGACAAAACTTTTAATTGAAAACTGCCACCACAGCCTGCGAGAAGGTCTCCCAAAGCCAGAGAAAGCACAAAGGCCAGAGCACACAGCAGGCCAAAATAATTTCCTTCTGAGGACTCTGGAGTCTGAGGAAGAAAGTATTGAAGCACAGCTCTTGTAGTGTGGTGACCTCTTTCACTGTGAGGTCTTTTTCTACTGCAATCTTTTGCTAAATGTCTGTGATGTCCTGAGGATTTCTTAATATTAATTAAATATTAATTAATATTTAATTAATATGGCATTTTAATATAATTAAAATGCACCTTAATGCTAGACAAGCCTTAACAATGAACATTTTCCTGGCACATCATTTTAAAATGACAAAAAAAAGAAAAAGAAAAAAGAAATGTGTCAGACATCTTCAAGTGTGAGTCAAACTAAGGTGTGAAAACATCTACTTTGTTCGTGCCACTCTTTTCAACCATTTCTTTTCTTTTCAATTTTTTTTAAATGCCATGTTGCTGTCTCTCCTCTGAAGAACAGCCTTTCATAAAACTTGTCAAATTGCTGTATTGACAGTGAAAACTCTTATTCTGCTTGGCCGTGTCCACTTTAATCTGTAGAAAATAAACATCACAATGGAAAGCACCCTCCTTGTTTGGACATTAAAAAAATAATTTGAGCAATATCTAGCTTCGACGTCAACTCATTTATTTCACATCGATGTAATATGATTACTTTAGTGACGGCGACTTAAACCACTGTATTGTTATTTACAGCAGTAAAACACGTCTAGAAACAAGAAGAGCCAGCTTTAAAAGTGGTGTTTTTATATGTGCACGCATGCGTGTGTTAGAGTGTGTGTATGTGTGTTTAACCCATTTCAAGTAAATACCAACGTTAGGGTGTTTACAACAAAAGACATGGAGTAGCTCATCTGTAACATCTCATTTAAAGGATGTCTGCCAAGGTCCAGGGAAAGCCATGCATCTTCTTTTTTTCTTTAAAATGTCACTGACTTAATGGTCACGTCCCTCTGTCAACTCACTACAGTGTGCGTGGTGTGTATGGAAGTGCATGCGTGCTGGTGTGGGCATGGTTTGTGTGTGTGTGTTTCAGCTGCCCTTCTTTCCCTGCCTCAGCAGCCAGAGTAGTAGCTTGTGGCTCTGACTGCAAATGAAACTGAGGATGTTTGGGTGAGTGAGCACATAAAAGGGGACAGGAGAGGCATTTGTAACATACAGTTGGATCTCACGCAGACACACACAAACATGCATACATACATATAAACAAATCCACAAATGTATGCATAGATGACCACTCGCATATATCAGGTATGCACAGTGAGGAAAAGAGTGAGAGCAGGGAAAAGGCAAGGATGAAGAAAGAGAGCGATGAAGGCAGAGAGAGAGAGAGATAGAGAGAGAGGGAGAGAGAGGGTCTGGACCCAGTTGAAAGAAACAAAATCCAAAAAAATAGGCAGCGAGACTTCATTCTGGTTCCAAGTCACTGCAGGAGTTCGTCAACCCTACATTTATCACTGAGGAAGATGCTGCTAAAACTGCAAGTGCATGATGAAACTGCACATCCACCCAGGCACTGTACATTTTCTGCAACTCTGTGCAGAGTACTTGTTGTACGTATCAGGGTATATTTTGTACTTTACCACTGTTTAACTGGCCCTTTTTTAAAACTTTGTTTACACAGGATTTTATCGGAGACGTTGTGTTTTTATTGCTGTCGATAAACAGTGCTTAGGTTTTAGCAAAAAGAGGAAGGTGTTGGACTCCACCACATGTGTTGATCAACATACACCTGCCTCTGTAGAATACATAAGCACCGAGACCTTGCATCAGGAATGTAAATCAATGCTGCACTCCGTTAGAATCTAGATGAGTGAAATATAGGCAGTGGTGACAGAACAGTAAAGCCCTCTTAATAAAAGTTCCAGTTGCTCAGACTCTGCAGAGTAAAGTAATCCAGTGGGTACAAAGGGAAAATGTAAATTAAAGCCCCATTAAAACAATGGCCTGCTTTATGTAAATGTCAGCAACATGGTGTACCGTCTCCAGGCTTGGTAGATTTCCTCACTGTTTATAAAATCAGCATGTTAATTATGATCTAAATTATATGTAGCAGGACAATAATAGTTAATTATTCAAATTAAAACAGGGAAGGAAACAGCTGTTATTCTCTGACCCAAGAGAAGGCAACTACTTAAAAGTCATATTTAAGTTAATAGTTTAATAGTTAGCTAAACAGCTAAAGTAATAGTTTCACTCACGCTGTTGGATTAAACCACTAATTGCTAATCAGACTAAACAAGGCATGGATTTCACGAACTTCAAACTTGTTAGCTTAAAAATGCATTCATTTTGTAAACATTCTGGTTGACTTCTTTGTAAGTCAAACTTACATGTTCACATGCATTTCAAAGGCTGATTTAGGTTAGAGTATTCCATGGAACCTGGAGAAAAAAGAAGTTATAAAAAGTCCATAAAAATCTACCCATAATGCCACAATGTTGTTAAGTGAAGGCTAATACATTCTTTGTAAAAACAATTTTGTGCCTGCCTCCTTTACAGCCTTTACACAGATAGAACTACGTAGCTCTGGTTCACAGTGACACATATTTAGCATTAGCTTTGCCCCCCTCTTTTGACACAATGCAACATGTGACCTTTCAGCAATGAAACAGTCAATTATGGAACAAAGCTTTCTGAAGTGAATTGTCTAATGGTAATAAGGTAATAATAATGTACATTCCTTTTTTGTCACAGCTGTCCCACCATTAGCCATAGGAATTATTTGGAAATGTGTAAATGAGAGAAAACTGATGTTTTTTACTAACTAATTACATCTTCACAGCACCACCCTTGACCCTAAGGAGTGAAACTAAAGGGCCAGGTATTGTCTGCACTCACACACATACATGCACACACACACTAATAAAACCACACACGCATTCATGCACACACTTGCCTAAGGGCAAACAAATACAAAGTAAAAAAATAGAGTTTGGGGGAGCTTGAATTCTGAAGTGAATGCAGGGCAGGGTGGCACACCATTGCAGTCGCTGATTGGCTCATTTCCATTTCAATTACACAGCCCAGTGACATTGCGGTGCATACGCTCGGGCACATACACACACACACACGCGCGCACACTTTCAGAAACATAAAAATGTGCACCTTTACACGAACACACCAAAACACTCCCGCACATAAACACACACACACACACTGTACCCATTGAACTCCCATCAGCCACTTCTCCAAGCTTTGCACCAGGAAGCAAGTAGAACAAGGAGCGATAACTAAGCTGACTAAAAGAAAAAGACAGCGAGGAGTAGAACAAGAGCTTGGATGCCGGAAACAGCAGAGACCAGTTTGACTCATATAACCAATTGAATGGGAAAGATTACACAGAGGAAAGAACTTAGTACTTCGCTGCTCTACATACAGTACCACTGTTCAAAGGTATGACCCAGAACAGGAGGCTTAGAGTCATTACTAACTTGTGATGTCAAGTGAGCAAAAGGCACTGTTTAAAATGGCTTCCTTTGTTTGGGAGCAGACGCTCTACAAAACTGACTCAAGATACTTTTTATGTCCTGTCGAAAGGTCACGACATGAAGGATGGAAAGTTTTTTTTTTATGTTTGTTGTTACATCACCAAGACAATCTATTAAACAGTACCCATCAGTTAGGAAGACATTTTGGCTTCAGAAAGTTGTCCCTAAGCGTGAACCTGAAGGCCTGGTGGATTACGTGACAACATTTTGATGTAAAGCCATGACAAATTCTGTTAAGATGAGATAGAAAGAGGAAATGCCTGAATCGATTTTCCTACGGCTGTGGAGAACAGACAGAGAAGTGTAAGGACTATAAGTTCACACACACACACACACTCAGCTGACAGCTGCAGGCATATTCAAGTCAAAACTCCATCTACCTGAGAAGAAGAAAAACAATATCTTGTTTTTACTTCTTCCTTTCTGCCTCTTGTCTCTCTTTTACCTTGCTTAATCTTTCTTAAAAACCCAAATCATGTTTTCAGTTCAATCTTCTCCGTCAATAATCCACAA